TCTCTCTCTCTCTCTCTCTCACAAACACACACACACACACACACACACACACACACACACACACACACACACACACACACACACACACACACACAAGCGTGGCGTCAGAGTTTCCGTAGTGCATGAATATGGAAGGGAAACAGTCAGTAGTCTTGCCAAACTAATGGAGAGCCGTGTGCTTGGAAATCTTGCACGCACGGTTCGGAGGGAAGCTTAGTCAGATTACACACACTGCTTACCCTATCTATTGGGTCGTCGGTTCGAATCCAACCTAGGGAGCTGTTCTGTGCTCAAATATACGGTCGACAAATTTGATGCAATGTGACACTGTGCTTCATCCCTGGGTTGGAAATTTGCTCTTCTCATGATTGAATGCCCAAAGATCATAACAGGACGAGGATGGTAACGTAGGAGGGCAAAGTCTTACCTTACTGGTGGTGAGATGGATACTTGGCGCTGCTGGATCGTCCTCTGGCTCCCTCAGGCTGCGGGCCCTGTTCTGTGATCCCTTCTGCTGTGGATTGTTACTTCTGGCATTCACCAGAAGATTCTCCTGCTCGCCTGAGGACAGTGGTGGCTTCCTCTGGGTTAGTGGATCTTCTTTGAACCCATCATCCAACAGGTTTTCCCGCTCTTCTCTCCTCAGGTAGGGCTCTGGATTCAGACTGGAGTTAGAGTCCACCCCGTGATGAGATTGAGGTCCCTGCGCCTTCCGGACACGGCCAGATTTAGCGGCCTCGATTTCCCACACGGACTCTGTCACTCCCGCAACTCCTGACAGGTCATGCAATGGTTCGGTATCTGGGTTTGAATTCGACCTTCTGGTCATAGCGTTGAGGTGAGATCGTCGACTACTGGCAGAAGGACCTTGCGGAGGTGTTGGCCTGGGGCGAGTGGAATTTGAACTGCCTCGAGATGCCCGCGCCCGTTCCAGTCGCGAGGAAGTGCTTGCGCTGGCACTGTTTGCTGCAGCAGAGGAAGAGACGTTTTCATCTGTGGGCCAGTGATGGAGGATGGAATGAGGAACACTGGCCATCTTTGTAGGGCTAGATTTCCCGCGCTGCGATACTTGACTAGATTCTTTGACGACGTTGCCTTTCTGAGACCTTTTTGTTGCTTGTAAAGGGGTTGGCTTGTTAGAGCTGTGGATTGCACTCAGATTCGGAGCCAACAAACTGGATCTAGAAGCCATCCTCGGCCTGGTCCTCGCTGATATTTGTCCGCCTCTGGTCTTATCTAGGACATTCTCTGTAGACCATTTCAGGGAGTCCTTAGCATGCTGCAGCTGGACACTGCAGGGAGGAACTGGGGAACTCTCACTGTGTTCAAAGGGTTGGGGAAGAAGTTGGTGGGTGTCCTGGGAGTTCTCCAGGCTACGCGAGCAGGAGAGCTTGCTGAACGACAACGGTGATGAAGGAAACAACCCATCAAATGGAGCTGTTGAAAGGTGCGGAGTAAAGTCAAGCGTCAGAAACTCCTGTGACAGGGTCGGTGAGCTGCAGTATATCTCACTCCGCTTGTTAGTTGGCGATTGTGATGGGGGTGAGCGTACTCCCGTCGTCATATAAGATGTTCCTGATGATTGTGATAAGCAGGATGCTTTGGAAGTTGGAAGCCCCATCTTTGCAATTTTCGGACTTAGTGATGCAGCAGATGAGGTGTGGGCCATATCATTGCAGAGGGAGACGGTGCAGGAAATGGACGAAGCGACAGGTGATGGTGACCATACAGAGGAGGCACAGGAAAATGGCAGCAACGAAGGTGATGAGGAAGAAGAAGACGGACAAGATTTGGTTGGATCCGGCCTCTCACCAGTAGATCTTGTGGGTCTTGATGAACACGAATCTGTCGAGGCGCATGGAGATACGTTGGGAACCAGGATGGGAGAGGTAGGGAGTGATACTAAGGAGGATAAAGAGACCAGGGATGGAGCAACTTGTTCACCGGACAAATGCGAGTCTACGGTCACCGTCATCGTTGTCAGTTTCCCAGAATGCAAGGATTTTGAATCAGATGCTGGAGGAGGAGGAGCAGCAGAAGCCCACGCTGACGACGACGACGATGACGACGTCGAAGAAGAAGAAGAAGAAGAAGAAGAAGAAGAAGAAGAAGAAGAAGAAGAAGAAGAAGAAGAAGAAGAAGATGATGATGGTACAGGAGAAAGTAATGGCAATGTCGATGTTCCAGAATCAGTTGGTTGTGAGCAATGTGATTGCCTGGCGTTAGAACTGCTGTTTAACATTTTCCTGGGAAATCCGCTCTGCATCCCTGTGTTCCCCTGCCAACTTTCCGTTAGATGGTCTTCTTCTGCCGTTGTTCTAGATGCGCTTTTTTCAGTGTCTGCCGCACAAGATTGGGTCTCATCAAAGCAATCTCCTTCCTTGCCCCTACACTGCCGAGCTTCAATTCCGCTGACAACTGTCCTTCTCTCCCTCTGCTTTTTCCGTACTGTTTCTTTTGCTCCCCTGCCCTCTCCTTCCTCTCCTGCTCCTCCTTCTCCTCCTTCCTCTCCTGCTCCTCCTTCTCCTTCTTCCCCTCCTTCCTCCTGGACTTGTGACCTCAAGAAAAGGATTTCATGGCTGTTGATCGAAGCTTTCCATGGGCTCTTTAACCCTTCTTGACGTAATTTATGCTCCATTGTCGCTGAGAAAGAGGAAGGGGAGGGAGAGGTCGAGGAGGGTGAAGGGGACGAAGATGAGGAGGTCCCCTCACCCTCTCCTTCCTCCTCTTGTTCACGTCTCATTGCAGCTTTATGAGGACCAACAGCCATCTCTTCTCCGCTTGTAGGAGAATGGGCCTGATGGCTGCAGCAATTGGGACTTATGACAGGTGATGATGTTACACTTGTGGCTGCTAGTGTTGCTGCAGCTGGCCTAGTTAGATCCAAACTCCTCCACAGCTGTTGTTGATCAGCTGAAGCTAAGCGTTTGCCACTGTCTTGATGCTGTCGAAGAGAACATGGTGTCGTTGGGGCAGAGCCGACTGCGGAGCTCACTCCATTCTTCCCGTAACTGTCCCATTTTCTCTCTGTGTCCCGCTGCCTCGTTGGGATGAAGGTGTCCCTGCCTGCCGCAGACAGGGATAACGGCTTATTAGAGGTCGGCGAATCACAATTCAAATCTGCTGAGCATAGCAAGTGTCTATCATCAACCCCGGTTGGCCGTAACTCTGAGGGGTGCTTTTGACAAGAGAAGGAGTGCAGGGAAGAGGCGGAGGAGGAAAGAGGGGGGGGGGATAACGGAGTTGGGGGAGAAGAGGACAATGCTGAGTCAACTGACCAAGTGTCGGCCTGTGGGAGGAAACCAAGTACTGCTTCTGACATTTCTCCCAGTTCTCCATCCGAGATGGACACTGGTTCTCCAACACCTACCTCTCCCTCTCCTCCCTGCGGCAACCGCTCTCTGGTGCTACCTGGGAAGTCTCCACTCTTGTCCACACCCTGCAGGTCCTGGCATTGCAGAATATCAGACATGCTGCCATTCATCCCTGTTTCCATCTGCTCCTCTGTGAAGCACAATGCACTTTCCCCTCCATTCCCTCCTCCTCCTCCTCCTCCTCCTCCTCCTCCTCCTCCTCCGCTTTTTAACAGATCAGAAGAGCTGTTGCCGCTCGTCATAGCGGCCTCACCACTCTTCTCTACAACTTTTTCTTCCACTCTACAGTACCCCGGTCCACTGATGTCGCCATCCTCTTTGCAGTCGCCCACCATCGTCGTCTTCTCGGGGACTGAGTGTGCAATCTGCGACGTCTCGGAACGTGAATTCGACATGTCCTTCGCTAACTCTCGTGGAGGCAGTCCTTTCGAGAGATTAACTTGCTCGAAGAGACGAAAGGCACAGCCCAGGAAACAAAGCAAAGCAGGCTTAACGCCAGAATGGCCGTACACCAAGTCCTGAACAGACAAGTGGAACTGAAGGCCCAGCCGTGCTGCTGCTGCTTCCACAATACTTATGTTGGAGGCCTTTGCATTCGCTGGCAGTCCCTCCTCCAAACAGATTTCTGTTCAAATGTCAAGTCATTCGATAAACATTCTTTGAGTTGACAACAACGAAAAATGTTTGCTACAAGGGGAATGGACACGTGGAGAGGGAACACAGTCAGAGGGGCGTTCACTGCTGTGAATTGATTATACGCCGGCTGAAGGGGTGAATAATGGAGGGGGACCAGCAATGGAATGGACGGGGATGGAGCAGGCGCGAATGGAACAGAGGCATTCCCATCGATCGGGAAAGGTGCAAAAGAGATTGAACGGACAGAATGGAGAAGTCTGATAAGAGGTTGCGGACAGCCCATTTGCCTGATCACAGAAAGTACGGTGCTAAAGCTCTTCTCGGCACCCGCCAGGTATGTTGCTCGCCACACCCTTCTCGCTCGTCTTCCTCCTCCCAGGGTCTCCCTTCCTGCCTCCCAGGCACTCGGGCCAGATATGGCTGGTGCTGCCTGCCTCCACTCTCGGTCACTGGCCAGTGCTACCGGTTTCCGGGGGTGTGTGTGCTCCAGTAGGCCTTCACATAGACCCTGCCAGATGTTTTGTAAAAGGGGGTAGCCCCAAATGTTTTAAACTTTTACATCCTTCAGGATTTTGAACTCATGATCTGTTTATTAACACTTACATGTGTGTACGTTCAGCCATCAGGCTAGTACAGGATTAGATGAGGCCATTCTTGCAGCTGTAGGTTCTGTCTTACACCATCTCGTATATGTGTAAGGTTGTGTCAGAGGGTAGTGTTTTTTCTTTCTTTCTTTCTTTCTGAAGTGTAAACTTTAAAACCAGATTCGGCCTACTAGGGGGGGTGGTATGAGCAACCTCCCGTAGTAGGGTTGTTGATTGCGCCGTCGGTTGGTGGGAAGCATCTCCTGCTGGAAATCGGGTCCACCGTTGTGGCATTCATTCTAAGTTGTTTCAAGGGTGGCTATGAACTAGTATGAAGGCGTTCGTGGTCTCTGAGAGAGGAGGGAATGGAGGGAAAAGAAAGAAACAAGGTTATGTCTGAGAGGATATTTTCCTGCTCAATGAGCTGAGGAGCATAGAAGAGAATCAATGCTGCCAATGCCCTCCCGTCCCGCATGTCAACCATGATGTCCTCCACCGTCAAAGGCCTGCATCGAACAGAAGGCATGCAAGAAGCAAGGAAATGCAACTTGACTGAACCCCAGCAAACAATGCCAGGCCCAACTACTCTCAGAGTCTCAGCCACATCAAACCAGTAAGGACACGAGTCATAGATCAAGGTTTGTGGCATTTTGTTATTGTTATTATAATAACGAAAGAAGGGGGTGGGGGCCTTAGCCACGATAACGTTACTTCATGATCCTTCTGATTCATTCCATCAGGATCCATCCTCCTGATTTCTTCACTAACAGTTACGTGTGTGCACAATGCACATTCAGCGACATGGGCTGGGGAGGAGGTTTTTGTGACTTTGAAATTGAGTCAAGCAATAGCAATAAAATTTCCTTCTTCCAATCTGTTGAGCTCGCTAGCACGCCTTTCCCCTCTATCATTGGGCGTCGCTCGACTACTCTCGAAATGCACAAAAGGCAAAAATCACGACCGTGTATTTTTCCGTGTTCTAGCGGAAGATTCACTCTCGTTTTGCACATTTCGAGAGTGGTCGTGCGAGGCCCATTGGCATGTATAATGCAAGAAACAGTGTTTTTCTTTTTTTGGCAGTTTTCTACTTTCATCTCAGCTCTGAGCGTCTCAGGAAATTTTCCACCTCTGTCAAGAGGGGTTAAACCGTTAAACTGTTACACCGTTAAACTGTTGAACCGTTAAACCACCAGTACCTTTGGTCCTTTGGACCTGCCCACCCTGGTGGCGTACCAGTTTTGGGCGGAGGTTTCTCCCGAAGAAGGGTTTCACAAATGAGTTGGAACTTGGAGGAGCAGTTTGGGCCCAGAGTTTGGTCCCATCGGACATCAACTGCCTCCTGATGTGCTATCAACCACTCACACAAAAGATGGTTTAGGCAAGATAGCGAAGACCAACATTTTCTCCTACCTGAGATGGAGGTTCAGACTCTTTAGACTCTTTAGACTCTTTAGAATTTCAGAGTCATTACATCAGACAAGAGCCATACAGCGGCACGGTTTTGTGTATCATGGGACCAAACTCTGAAATGCCCAGAGGAGCGTTTTGGGCCCAGAGTTTGGTCCCATCGGATATCAACTGCCGATTAGACTTCAGCCCTCTTGGGCGGCTGAAAGCACATGCAAAGGCCAAAATGGAGGACTGCAATGTCCATCATTGATTGGGTTCCACTGTGTTCTGCGTATCAAATGACAGACAGTCCGGTCAAGACATACACCATTATGCCCTTAGACCCCCCTCAGCCAGCTGAAATAATATACACAGCCGATGAGCCTAGCTCAGTCGGTACACCCGCAAACTGTTAAATCCAGATCCAAGCTCAAATCCAGATGCAATCAAATGGACAGAATAGAGTGATTCTGAATTACCTGGGGCCAGTCAGTTCAATGATGACATTTTTGGAACGTCGCAGTAAAAAAAAAGGGGGGGAACTTCAGTAGAGTCACGAAAACAAGTTATAATTGCACTATGGGCCAAGATACAGTTTGCAATTGCACTTCGGGCACCCTACCTGGCCAGAAAGCTGGGTTGTATAAATTGCCCGAAAGGCAATTTGAAACCGTATCTTGGCCCATAGTGCAATTATAACTCATTTTTGTGACTCCCATGCAGTTCCCTCCCCTTCCCCCCCCCCCCCCCCCCCCCCCCCCCCCCCCCCACAACAACAACAAAAAAAGAAGGAACATGCACAGGCCAAAAATGGGACAGTGAATTGCCTACCGTCTTCCCCCGAACACAATGCAACCTCATCTTGACTGCACCGAACCGGAAAGATAGCTTGTATACGTTAGTTATCGACAAGGTGCGTTGTGTTCGGGTGAAGACCGTAGCATCAGCCACTGTACTATCATCCGAAAACAGATGTTTAATTATTGCCTGCGGAGTGGTGCCGTCTGCCCAGCCCACTTTACAACTGGCACGCCGCGCCTTTCTGCATCAGCCTGACAATAACCAGCATGTCTTTTTTTTCTTCTTCTTTTTTCTTTTAAGAAATAAAGGAACAACCAATTCCCTAGATCTTATGAGGTATGCATGTCTTCTTAAATAGGATTGCCCCAAAACTGGGGGTTTTAAGGAAGGGAAAGCTTGGAGAAGGAGGGCTTACACGAAATGCGTCACTGCGTTCACCCATAATAGCAAAGCATCCTCCCAATCGTAAGGCCTCTCATGACCTTCTCTCAGCTTCCTGTTCAACTTAAGGAGTTAGATGAGACATGCAGAACGAAGCCAAGAACATAGTACTTTAATTAGCAAGCAAGCAAGCAGGATGTACCATGTACCACCATCATATGGCATATCATGTGTCCTTTGGGACATACAGTCAAGATTGGAATGCTAAACAGAAGAGCTTGCCCATGGGTGATAAGCACCCTAACTGCTGGCCCCCAGAATATCTTAAACTACTAGTACCTCCACCAGCTGGGAAAATAGGGAGGCCTCGGGTGGGCCTCCAATCTTTTAGGAGGCCGAAACGACAGCCGCGGATGAGATTTATCAACGGCGGCCGTCGTTGGCCCCTGCCCCTGATTGTTTAGGAGTTTGGGAAAACTGCCAGTTTTCCCTATTTTCCCAACACTGGAGGAGGTAGTAGTGCTTAAAACACACAAACAAACAAACAAACAAACAAACAAACAAACAAACAAATTAGCATGGCCTCTACAAAAGTATGGCACACACAGTACAAGGATTCTTCTTTAAAAGAAATAAAAATAAATACTGTGTAACTGTGGTGGCAGTGTGGTCCAATGGCCCAAGGATCAGATATTAAACTGTTCAGAACCAAATCAACAGATACTACACTTGATCTTACTTAGCCAAAATAGTAAAATACAAATAGTAAAACACAAACACAAATAGTAAAATACAAAGAGTAAAATACAAATAATTTGAAAGAACTCATATATAATTATTGTGGTTTATGAAGTAATATGAATCCATTTCTAGCCTTAGGTGATTGCCGTCTGAAGCGATGGTGGACCGAATCCTGAATGCGAAAGTTCTGAACGACATTTCTAGGTGATCGTCTTCCGGGGGCGATCGTTGTGCTGTGCTGGTGTCAGCTTGTTTTTCAATATGAGTCTCGTTGCTCGGCGCTATCTCGTTGTGTCGCCTCTCCTCCTTCCTCTTCTTCTTCTCCCTCTTTCTTTATCTTCTTCTCTCTCTCTCTCTCTCTCTCTCTCTCTCTCTCTCTCTCTCTCTCTCT